AGAAACCTACATGTCCACTTCCTCCCGTATGACGCAATGCATAGTGGGAAATGTAGTCTCCTCTCGGGCACAGAACCATTGGGCGGGGCTCTTTCAGGCTCCTCCCATGCATGCGCTTCCGCGCCCATTTAGGGCATTTTCCGCTCAGAAATTCCGGTTCCTGGCGTTGTGCCGCGCTCCTGGGAAGTTTCCGAAGTAAAGTTCAGTGTTCTGAGCGCCGGAACCGGGGTGGCAAGAGGCCCCGCCGTGCCTGGCGAACCTGGGGACCTGAAATGTGAGTGGATGGCAGGCAGGCAGGAAAACGGGCTGCAGGCGGCAGCTGGAGCCGGGCGGGTAGCCTGGAGGCTCCACGCACTGCCGGGTCCCTCCGGTCTGGGTGACTGTGCCTGGGGTCGTGATGGCTTTGTCAGAGACGGTTCTGCCAGAATCAGTGTCCTTCCAGGTGCCGGAACCTAGCTGGCTCGGGAAGGTTCGCGGGCAGGCTAGAAGGTTGTGCAGACTAGGAGAGCTGGGGAGGCCTGCGCTTCTGTTCCACGCCTGATTCTGCTGTGAACCGAGGTGACATCCTCATTGCTGTTGCCCTGCTGAAAGATGGACGCAGTCACAACTGTAGTGCAGTTGTGAAATGTGTGTTGGACGAGTCATGTGATATGGCAGTGGAATTACCGTGGAACGTTTCTAGTTCCCTCCTACACCACGTAGCCGGCTTAGCACTCCTGGCTCCAGTTTACACGTTTGTACACGACCTAGTTTCTAGAGAAAGTTGTTTATAGCATATTGGAGAACTGGCTGATGGACTTGTATTATTTGGAATTAAGTAAGCATGGTAAATTTGAAGGAGGGCAGATTCTGAATAGGAGTGTGCATCCTGAAAGAACACTTGCTATCCTAAAGGGCAGAGGCAAGAAGCACAAGAGGGAAGGATCTCATTAACTTAGTAATTATTGCCGCTGCTTTCCATAGCACAAGATTCACGTGGGACTCTTCTACAAAGCTCCCAACTCTGCAACTTGGCGAGAGGAGAAGTGCGCTAGACTGGGGAATGAGCCAGAGCTGAATTCTCAGAGGGGTAGGAGGCAGTGGTTTGTGGTTTGTAGTGGAGAGACACCTTGTCACACCTGAAAGAATCTGTCTCTACAAGTACCCTAATTCCAGTCTCATTGATTCAGTCAACCCCAGTATCATTTCTAGAATGCAAGCTCTCTCAAACGTATCTTGTTATTAAATATGCCTTTTAGAGATGTACTGGTATTTGGTTTTACCTGATGATTTGTCTGACAATTCAGGAAATGCTTGCTAGGGACCTTAATGCTTTATAACAAAAATGACAAAACTTAAGGTGATATAGCTTGCTCAAGATTGTATGGTTTGTAGATGTTAAGTAACCCGAAGATTTAGCTAGTGTTACCCATTTTGTTAAAATCTCTCAAAAGTAGTATTTTTTCAGTTTAGGGATTTTTTTTGGGGGGGGTCAGTCATGGGGCCTGAACTCTGGGCCTGGGCACTGTCCCTCAGTTCTTCAGCTCAAGGCTAGCGCTCTACCACTTGAGCCACCGCGCCACTTCCAGCTTTTTTCTTTTTGCTTATATGGTGCTGAGGAATGGAACCCAGGGCCTCAGGCATGCAAGGCAAGCGTTCTACCACTGAGCCACCTTCCCAGCCCCTAGGGATTTTTTTTGAAGAGAGGGAGGTGATTGAAGTCAATGTTTCAAAATACTTTACTTGAAATATGCTGATTTTATTTCCTTTCTTTTTTTCTTTTCTTTCTTTTTTTTTTGTCATTCATGGGGCTTGAACTCTGGGCCTCAGCACTGTCCCTGAGGTCTTCAGTTTAAGGCTAGTACTCTACCACTTGAGCCAGTGCCACTTCTGGTTGTGTGTGTGTGTGTCTGTGTGTGTGTGTGTGTGTGTTTTGCAGGTCATGGGGCCTGAACTCTGGGCCTGGGCTCTGCCCCTCAGCTTTTCAGCTCAAGGCTAGCACTGTACCACTTGAGCCATAGCACTACTTCTGGTTTTCTGTTGGTTTATTGGAGATAAGAGTCTCATGGACTTTCCTGCCTGGGCTGGCTTTGAACTGTGATCCTCAGATCTCAGCCTCCTTAGTAGCTAGGATTACAGGCGTGAGCCACCGGCACCCAGCACAAGTCAAGAACTTTTAAGCAACCCACTTGGATCAAAAAGATCACTTTTTCTCAAAATACCTTCCTTCCTTCCTTCTTATCTCTGTTCCTTACTTCCTTCCCTTCCTCACTGCATCCATCCCCTTTCTTTCTTTCCTTCTTTCCTCTCCATATGCTCTATCATGGGCCGACTTCTTCTCACTCCAGTTTTCCTTCTCTTAGGACACTTTCTGAACTGACTTTCTCTTATATCTTATATAAGAAAATCACTAAAGTTACCATCTGCAATCAAATAGATTTTTCCTAATTTCATTCTATTAGGTCTAACCTCATATAATGTGATGCTGCTTTTTTTTTGCTTGCTCTTCTCACATTATTGAATATTTTCATCCATTGGATGTATAAGAACAGAAGCTGATAGTTCTGGTAAACTATTGACTTGGTTTATTACATTAGAGGTGTCACTGTTCACAAATCTGGAGGACATTTACTCAGTAATAAGGTCTGGGCTCTCAGGAACTCTGCTTTGAGCCAATATTTATGGCAACATCTCCTTAGAACTCTGCTGGGTGAAAGCATTTAGGAGTTAGTGGAACACATTTGTAATGCAGTCAACGAAAAGTTATACAAGGATAAAATCAAAATGCATAGAGTTTTAATAACTTTTACCTCTATCCTGTGTATTTGTTCATAACTGTTCAAAGTTTGTATTATGTCATTGCATTTCCACTAACTTTGACAACATGTTTTTCAAATTCTATTTCTCTTTTTTTTGGGGGGAGGGGTCCGGTTGTGGGGCCTGAACTCTGGGCCTGGGCGCTGTCCCTCAGCTCTTCAGCTCAAGGCTAGCACTCTACTACTTGAGGCACAGCGCCACTTCTGGCTTTTTTCTTTTTG